TCACTTTAAAACTCTAATTATAATATCACTGAAATTATAATTTAACTCATGCAAAAATTAGTATTTAAATCCAAACAGGACTCAAATAAAACACACAGAAAATTGTATTACCATTAGGAAACAAAGGCTGAAAAATTTCGGCCAATGTGAAAACTGAAATCCAAGACCGAATAGGTCTCAAATCATAACACAACTTGGACTCAATGACCTTAATTTTCGGGATAAAATTTTCGGCCATGTGAGCACATGAATATAAGACCGAATAGGACTTAAAGTGTAACACAAATAGACAACCAAAATTTAAGTTCAATTAGGACTAGGAAACCCTAATTTTTAGCTCAAAAATTCGGCTATACTATGACTCTAAAATTCAAAACAAATTAGGCTTAGAACTCCACATAAAACACACGCACACGCATGCATTAATTCAGAAAAATTTTGACATTTAACTTTTACCACATAGTTAAAATTTGAAAAATTACTTTTGACTCACTTTAAAAAGGAAACTTGGAAATTACCACTTTCCAAAATGTCCAACAACTTTTAGAATACTTTTCAAAAACCACTTTCCAAATTGTGTATGGAATTAACAAAAATCACTTTTTACCAAAACAATCTATGGCAAATAAAGTTAGAAGAACACCATAAGTATAATGAAGTTGGAATTTAAAGTTCCTCATTCAACTATGACGTTTGCTTCATAATACTCAATTTAACACAAACCATTCATGCGACTTAATGACTCAACAAGGTCATCTTCATAAGTGACTATTTGAAAATTAATTTTTCCAAAGACCAAATATGTAAACTTCAAGAACATACCTCAAAGCTGAATAAAGATTGCTTGCTTCTAGGAAATCTTAATAAGGCTTTACTCAATTCTCGATTCAACTCTCGAAAATTAAGGTTTTAAACACAAGTCAAAGACTTCGACCCTTAAAGTTGGTACAATTCAACTTCAAAGACCTTTAAACATTTGATACCAAAATTGATATCACTAAAATTCATTCTTCATCAACTGATAAAGAAAGTTTTGAAACACAAGTTAAGAATCATGGAAAGTCCAATGATAGGAAGATCCACTAATTTGACTCATTCTCAAAGTATAAACTCGAGAAAAAACCAAAAATCGACATTTGTTACTTTTGACAATCTTTTGATACTAAGATTTAAACAAAGTAAAATAAACGAAAAGATCGGAACTCTATGAAGTTTTCATTGATTGAAAATCCATAAATTCCATTTTACTCATAAGATTCAAATGAGAACCAACAAGAAGGAAGGCTTTTTCATTTATACTTTATGTAGAAAGTACAAAATCACTAAGCTTTACTTTTCAAAGAATAGATCCAAGATATTTACCACAAGATAAAATCTTAAACCCTTCTTCTTTGGCATCAATTCTTTCCTTAAAGATTCAACACATAAGATCCACTAACTTGCTCATAGGAGAAACAGTTTTCTACTTGCAAATCAAGGATAAATTTCAAGATGTAGCGTCTACTTTGACAAGATACCAATGTACCATCCTCAAGCTCTCGCATAGACCCCAAAATAATACCACAAGATTAAACAAATGTGTAAGAAGTCTCGCACAACCACACAAAAGCCAAGATCAATTATGAAAATGTAGTTTTCACTAGAATTTGATTTATTTTTTCAAAACGCATTCTGCAACAAGAAGGAACCTTGAAACAAATAAAGATAGTACTACTCGTTAGTAGCACAAATCTCAATTACCACAACAAGAAACGGATTCCGTGGTAACTCAAGATATTCTCAAAACAAAGAACTATGAAGTCCTCAATCAGAAAGAAATCTCTCGAAAATCAAACTGATACTAAAAATTGATATGATAATATCAATTAATACCATCACTTAGATAGTTCAAGCTCTGATACCAAAAACTGATAGCAATCTCGTAGATGAATCAAATTTCGTTAATGCAACCATCAAACAAGAAAGTACGAAAATAATTTGTCTATCCCGTGAAACTCAAAAGAGTGCGAAAAATTCACAGTAAGACGATCATTTATCTAACGATTTCTATCTCTTAACTCAAACCAAGCAATGAACACATAATCTATGAAAGATTCGAATTAAACAACAACCCATACTAAGAATAGTATACCATTCAATATACTCGATCAGTCATCATTCAAGAAACTCTAGAAAGATAGGAGCAAACAATGCTCAACTATGAAGGAATACTATTGATTAGTAATCTCCATAACCAACAAAGATATGCAACACATACACTATCTAAAAATGCTTATGCCAAAGCAAAACTCATCCAACAAAAAGTAGGACAAACCCCACAAAGGAACTCATGAACACACACATCATGAATTTCGAAAACCATAGTCAAAAGAAAGGCTCAACTCTCGAACTCTTAGAAGTAGTATGAAAATAAGTTAGTTTTAAAACAATTCTATCAAGAAGAATACTTGAAAAAGAACGATTTCTGCAAGATCAAAAAATCCAATACGAGATGAAAAACCCTCTTTGTTAAATCATACTTGACAAATGAAAAATGGACACACCATTTAACAAAAATCCCTCACAGGAAAAACTCTCATTAGAGAAGACTCAAAATGACCACACACGGGTGCTTTAACTTTCGGCCATACCCCCCTATTTATAGGCTAGCAATTTTGGCCATAAGCACAAAAAAGAAGACCAACTAGGACTCTCTAATCTTATCTCACGCAGGAGTAGAGTTAGAAGAGTATTTGATCTCTTTGACTCTATCTAAAATCTAGGAAACCTTATCTAAATGACTTATCCTCAAATAGGATAATACTTAGAAGGAATCTAAGACTCCTAATGAAAACACTCTAGATTAATTCAGTCCACATGAGTTATTTAACTAGATAAATTCGAAAATAAACTCCTAGACTAGATAATACTCTAATTCTCGAAATTCAGCTCCAAATATTGAAGTAAAATTCTTGAACGCCCTTTCAAAAAGTGGAATATTGGTCTTGCGCCCCTCAAGTTGTAGATAACTCCAATTTACTCCAAAACTTGTAGGATTCTCTTTATTGACTCCAAAAGATTGGGAAAACACTTGAAACAATTGAGATAGTTTGCACCATATCCAATTGTGTAGCAATGGACTCAATCTTGAACACTTTGATCAAATAGGCCGTCCATTCAAGAACCTAAATGACTCTTCTCTCTAGCTCGATCAATGATCTTCATGGAGCACCTAGAGTCAAACTACCTTGATACTCTTGAGCACTTATTTCCATGAGTGAATCATCTCCTTTGGTTTGAACCCCAAAGTTAATAACATTTTCATCATCTTGATCACAGCTCTCTTGAACCAACTCCCTATCACATAGATAGTCAAGATCCATCCTTTCTTCCTTGATTGGCCTGCAAAGTAAACTTGCCATCCCAAAACTCGAATGAAGGACTAGCTCATTCCCCTCACTAGGAGAACCACCATGGAAGGCTATATGATTCTGATCAATTATTTAGACCAAAAATGATCTCGAACTCAGATTTAAAATAAAACTAAAGCTTAAATTTATAATCATAATTAATCATAAAGTTTTAAAAAATCAAGCAGAAGAAATCTAAGACATTAGGTTCACCTACCTAATTTTTGGTATGGTTCAATTCATAATAATATCTTTATATTTTTATTAAAACTGTGTGTTATTAATTAATATTTAGAATTTTTTAATCTTAAGCCAAACAGTAAAATTGTTAATACATAATAAAAATATTTAATCTTTTACGTCACCTTAATTGGGTTTCTGATTTCGTGCCACATCAATATTTTTCGTCCTCTATTAATATATGAAGATTAATATATATAGATTAATTGGTTTTTCTCTAAACGGTTACTATATGCACACACAGAATAAGAATATTTTCGAATTCACCATCAATATTTGCTGTATATATAATATGATGATGTAACCTCCCAACACATTAGTATCTAAGGATGAATCAAAATCCCATGTGATGGTCAAATTGGAAGGGAAACTTGTTGGCTTCAACGGATCAGTATGCCAAACTTTTATTGAGCTATTATTTTTCCATTTTCCATTTTTCTTATTATTCAATTGATCACTCATTAATGCATCATCTGTTCTTTGCTTAATTGGACTTCTCACATAGATGAACTTGTACATTATACAATTTCTAAAGACCCTTCAAATAAGTGAGAAAATATATAATCAAAATAAAAAAATAAAATAAACCTAAACACCAGGATAAAAGTTTCAGTTACATCTTGGTTTCAATGAACCTACTTTGGCAACATTTATCATCGCTGACATTGTCAAAACATGAGTAATGTATTCTAATTGTTATCACCGATTTTTAATTAAATATCGAACCGGCGCAACAAAAGTAGTGAATCAGTCCAGCATTGCAAGAAGGCCACATTCGACATGGAATAACGGAGTCCATTCTCGAATCGGTGAAGGAAATGCATCGAAAGTCCGACCCGACGCAGAGAAGATCAATTCCAAGTTCAAAGTGAGTTACAATTGTAGAAGGAAACCGGAAATCAGAAACACAAGTCAATTGTAATTCTAAATCGGCAATACCGAGTTCGAGTAGGAATCGGAGATCGCACTGCCCTAGACGATTACTGACCCCTATATAAAGAGAGAGAGAATAGAGGGACACAAAGGATCTCATCATCAACACAGACAAAACACAAGCTGCAAAACTCTTACCTTTCTTTTCATACCCTATCATTCTTTTTTCAAGTACTTTTTCACAAGTCTTCTTTATTCGATTTAATCATTGTATTTCGTTTAAGTTCATCAATTTATCATCAATTCAGTTTTATTCAAGTTGTTACAAGTATTATCCCCATCTTTTTCACACCAATCCGAATATTGCATCTCACGAATTACACACTTTCGTTTGATATTGTTTGCAAGCGTGCATCAGTTTCTACATATCTTTTGTGCACAAACATAATTGGCACGCCCAGTGGTACTGATTTGCGTGTCTTGACTAGGCTTGAAGCTATGTCAATAACAACGGAAACAACTTCTGTTCAGACTGGAGTTACTTCCTCCGGTCCATCAACAACAGAAGCGGCAAAATCAATCGGAGAATCAGGAATAATGCCAACGCTTCCATTACTGTCATCAAGAGTACTGATTCTACCGGTGAATCAGAATCTGGAACATGAGTTGAGAGGTTCCTATCACTCTCAAATTTACCACAATCAAGGCGTAGAACAAACTGCGGAACATGGAACAGCATGGATCAATGCTCAATTAGGATTGGACCAATGGGGACGTAATAAAAAATCAGTGTATAACACACCCCAGAGTCTTGATCAAATCATTATAGGCCAGAAAAATAATACCATCACAAGTATGCTGGTCTGTATCGCTGCATTAGAGCAATCTCTTCAAAAGGTTAACCCTAATGGCAGCGTGGTACTTTAAACTCCACCGATAACCCCCGATACGTCATTAAGAGTACCACTATTGAATCCATCTACAACACTTGCTCATGATAACCCTTTGTTTTCTAATTCATCAACACCGGTGCTAGGGTTGTCAGTCAGCAGAATAAGTTAAGCAGGAGTTGTTCCAGAAGTATACCAATAGCAAACCCTAGTTGGTATTACCGCGCTGAACCAAGTCAGCCGACTTTTATCCCGACAATCAGAAATTTTACCTTTGATGGTCGGCCATTACCTTATAATGGAAATCCCCAAGGGTCAGCATCTAATTATGGGACTACACCAGTTGTTCCAGCTATGAGATGGCCACCAAGAGCTCCCGGTTATCCACCAAAAGCACTATTCCTCCCGGAACAAGGAGGGCAGCCAGAACCTGGATCGCGAATTTTGCCAAGATACATTCATACGGTAGAAGAATTGCTGGAAGAAGAACAATGGATTGAGTATGAAGCAAATCAGGCACAGAATCAGACTAGGGCAAGGAACAATACTCGGAGAAGAGATGCTAGAAATCCACAAAGGGAAAATCAACCAGAAGCACAACTTTATCAAGAACACGAGAGAGACTTTCGACAAGATGGTTTTGCTCGAGAAGAAGAGACCGCACCTACATTTACTACTGAGGTTGGTTTCAAAACAATGGTGGAAGACATGGTACAAAAGAAACAAGGAATAGAGGTGCCAGAGGTGATGGGAAAGCCGTATCCGGAGTATGTTGAGTTTGAACCTGTGCCAAGGAATTACAAAATGCTAGATTTCAAGAAGTTTACTTCAGAAGATAATCAACAGCCTGAAGATCATATCGGCCGCTTTGAATTGGAATGTGGTGAAGCTGGGTACAATCCTTTCTTGAAGTTATGATTATTTCCTTATTCATTAGCTGGAATAGCAGTAGACTGGTATCGTACTTTAGAATCAGGATCTATTGCTGATTGGAATGCCCAAAAGTGGATATTTATTCACAATTTCCAATGCACCACACCAAGGTTGTCGATCGTTGATTTGTCACAAGTCCAGCAAAAACCAGGTGAAACGGCTGAAGCATATCTTGCTAGGTTCCGACAGATGCATGCAAAGATACCAGGGGCTACTTCCGGTAAATATGAGGAATCTACCATAGTAAAGATGGTGATATCCGGTATTCAAGACTTCAAATTGAAGTTGGCAGTAATGCCACATCCAATCCATTCTTTTACACAGTTTATGGAAGTCGTTCATAACACTTAAAAGGTTATCCGAGCAAAGAGAGAAGCAAAGCCAACTAAACCAAAATCTTGCTTTCACAAAGAACCTTTTGCATAAATTAATAATGTTTCTTGGAGTTCCTCAGATCATGAAGATCATCCTTGGGATAGCATCAATGCTGCAGAGATTATCAATTTAAAAGAATATACATGCGAGACATTGCGTAGGCCAGTTGTGTCATAGGCATATTCTCACGGGATAACTTCCTCTGGAACGGTTAAAACGTCCGAAAAAGCCTCTGCTAAAGTTTATTCTTTTGATATTACTCAACAAGAGGAAATTTTTGATGATATCATGAACACTGGCCATGTACGATATAGAAATGGTTACCGGCCACCGAAACCATCTAAAATTGTTGGGAAAACATATTGCAAGTATCATATCTCATGGACACATAGTGCAAATGATTGTGTAGTTTTCCGAAATTACCTACAAAAGATTATCGATGAAGGGAAAATCAAAGTAGATGATCCAATTGAGATGCACGTTAACCCATTTCCCACAGAACACCCAGTTCGCATGATTAATGTTGGCTTGAATAGCCACATACCTATGGCATGTAACTATAGGTTGTTCGGAATGTGATGCAGTTCTTGGTGGATTCAAGCATCAATTGACAGAGTTGGAGCAACGGTTTGGTGGGCATTACCATCAGCCAGTAGCATAGCAAGAAGTTACTATCATGGTACATGGTCATCCACAGACATGGGTTCAGAAACCGGCACCAGGCGAGATCCTACAGAATCATCTTCAACAACCGATGCTCCATCGTCATCATCTTATATCCCCACTACTCCCACAAACTCCACCAGTTTTTCCAACAACAGTCCAACCATCTTGTATTGGCATTCCTCTTCATGGGCATGCACCTGCGGTACCCTCAGGATTTTAGCCTATACCAGTGCGTGCACGAGAAATCATAACTGAGTCAAAGAAATCATCTGATTCTACCGGAACATCAGTATGGGATCGATTGTCTATACCAAGAACACCGACTCCTGTGTGCAATCCTAGAATGATTAAGCCAAAAGTGGTTAGTTACACTCGTTGGCATCATAACCAACATAAAAAATTCCCAGTTGTTCCCCTTGGCGCATCAGGACTTACTCGTACTCAGAAACGGCGTTGGCAATGGTTGAGAGCTGGTTATTACAAAGATATACAATTGTGTCACTAATCAAAGATGTTGCTAAGTTCATTGCCTAAACCACGAAACCATCCTTCCAAGAGGCAATATTGGCACAAAGTAGCTGATCATAATCCATCAGTTAATATGGTTTACGTATTGTCATGGACATTTCGTACAACGTCCGATACGCCAGTCGTCAACCCACCAATATCCAATACAGATGCTGAAATAATTGACACCTTTGATGTTGATGCCTCTACAATGCCGACGATTCTAAAGGACACCAAGAAGAATGGAATTCAGATAGTAGAAAGGCCCGGACAGTCACTCATTGTTATGCTTACACAGCCGAGTGACACAGCTACTACTCATATTCGTTCTCTATTCATTTGTGCTACCATGGATGGTGTTCCTTTGAAATGGGTTTTCGTGCATAATGTTGCAGGTATTAATGTTTTACCATTCTCCGCGATGCGCAAGTTAGGCAAGCACATGCAAGATTTGGTTCTGACAGAGATCTTTGTTAGTGGTTTCACTGGCGACGTTACCAGCACTCAAGGAATTTTTCCATTAGAAGTCACTATTGGATCACAATCCATGGTTTCGGCTTTCTTTGTGGTGGATACGCAAGCATCCTACAATGCATTATTAGGCCGCGGCTGGATCCATTCAGCCCATTGCATGCCTTCTTCATTACACCAAACTATCATTCATTGGGGATCGAACGGTCTAGAAATCATCAGTGTCGACACAGCATGATTCACCAACCAAACGAATTCAGTTGAGGCTTACTACTATGACAAAGAGGTTGGTCCTTATTGGATTTTAGGGATTGACAAATACGGTAGGCCAATGCAGGCCACCGTGCACCACGATTGTACTCTCCCAGAATGGAAGATGTTGTGGCAAGAAGTCAACAGGCCGCACAATTACAAGCTGCTTTCGCTGTCGACTCTAGCTATCATTATTGAAGAAGTTTCTGATGAAGACAATTGAACAATGATCAGTCATGGATGATGCTTCTCTTGATATTGAATTAGCACAGGCTGTCAAGAAATGCGACGCTATTCAACGCTTTTTGAAGTTTTTTACTGTTTAACGCAGAACACCCGGAAGTAAATTGGGAGGATGTTATTTACGATGCAGACCCAGAAACAGATAGTGACATTATCGAGCTCAATGACTTGGTAGTCGCTGCAGACAAGTTAGAAGATAGCTCCATGGCGACAAAGGATCCTGTGATTACTGTGGACTTAAGTGATGGCACAGTTCCCAAACCCATCTATATCAGTGCCACATTGTCCGATAATGAGAAAACACAACTCACCATGTTGCTCAAGTCTTTTCGTGATTGTTTTGCTTGGGATTACACAGTGATGCCTGGATTGGATCACAAGTTAGTAGAACACACAATTCCACTCAGACCTGGATTCAAACCTTTCAAGCAGCCTCCTCGACATTTGTCAAAAGAAGTGGTTGGTAAGGTTAAAGAAGAGATACGACGATTACCAGCCGTCGATTTTATAGAGGTTACAACATATGTCGAGTGGTTGTCCAATGTTGTCCCGGTGATCAAGAAAAATGGTAAAACAAGAGTATGCACAGATTTTCATAACTTAAATTTGGCATCCCCGAAAGATGAATATCAAATGCCAATTGCCAAAACTCTCATTGATAGGCTAGTTGGATATGAAATATTTAGCTTTGTCGATAGCAATGCGGGTTATAATCAGATATACATTGCTCATAAAAATGTTCCCAAAACTACGTTGTGCGCTCTAGGTGCTTTAAGGATATTTCAATGGAAAGTTATGCCCTTCGGTCTCAAGAACGCTTGTGCCACTTATCAAAGAGTCATAAATTGTATTTTCCATGATTTAATCGGCGACTTGTTGGAAGTTTACATTGATGATGTGGTTATGAAGTCACATTCTTTTGTTGATCACCTTCGACATCTCACAACCTACTTTTTTTTTGAATGTATGCGCCGCAACAAGTTAAAGCTCAATCCCCTTAAATGCGCCTTTGGTGTGACATCTGGTGTTTTCCTTGGGTTTTTAGTTCATTCCAGAGGCATCGATGTTGATAGTGAAAAGGCTAAAGCCATCCTTGAAGCTTGACCACCGCACAACAAGAGGGAACTTCAGAAATTCGTCGGCAAGATTAACTTTTTATGCTGATTTGTGGCAAATTTATCGTCAAAGGTTAAAGCTTTTTCTTTGTTGCTGAAATTACAAGCTGCTTCAGACTTTGTTTGGGAATCTAAACATCAACAAGCCTTTGAGGATATCAAATCTGCTCTTAGTAGACCGCCAGTTATGATTGCACCAGTTCCAAGACGTCCTTTGAAATTATACATTTCGCCACAGATGATTCCTTGGGATGTTTTCTAGCCCAGGATGGTCCAGATGGTTTTAAGAGAGCAGTTACTGTCTTAGCCGAATGCTGACAACTACTGAACAGAAGTATCGAGCTATAGAAAAGTTATATTTATCTCTCTATTTTGCCGGTACCAACCTCTGCCATTACATATTGCCTACACTGGTTTGTGTCATCAGTAAGATCAATTTAGTCCGATACATGCTTAACTGTCCTAACATGAGTGGTAGGATTGGCAAAAGGATATTGGGACTCATGGAATTTTAGTTTCAACATGTTCCACAATCAGCTGTTAAGGACAAGCTTTGGCGGACCTTTTAGCAACACATCCTTCAGTGGATGATAACTGGTCTGAGATAGAGGTTGCAGCTTTTCAAGTTGAAATCGCACCAACCATACCATGAAAGTTTTATTTTGATGGTTCTGCCACATTTCACCGGTGCGGAGCAGGAGTGGTTATCTATTCCCCTCTTGGAAAAGTACTGCGAATACGTGTGCATTTGAATTTCCGTGTTACTAATAAACAAGAAGAGTATGAAGGTTTGATTTATGGTCTCCGTACTTTGGTACACAATGAAGCACGCAATGTCGAAGTCATCGGCGATTCTACTCTTGTGGTTGGTCATATGAAGAATACTATAAAGCGGAAAGATGATATCTTAACACAATATGCAGCTCTTTGCGACGAACTTAAGTCTCACTTTGATACCATCACCTTCACCAATGTGTTGCGCCCTGATAACCAAGAAGCCAATGCCATGGCATAGTCTGCATCTGATTATATTCCCGAAGTGGATTCCTCTTGGCAGTTTGATACAATTGAATTTGATTTCTTGCTTACCATGAGCATGCACCCATACCTGTTAATGCCATTCAGCCATAGGTTGACATCGGAGATTGGAGACATCCCATTATCCAGTTCCTTCTTAATTCAGATGTGCCAATTGATATCCAGACCTGACGTCGGGCTACTCAATATGTTGTGCTGGATGGAGCTCTTTACCGCAAGACCGCTGATGAGATTCTCCTCAAATGCCTTAATCGTCCAGAGTCCACTGCTATAATGTTAGAAACGCATGAAGATGTTTGTGGCGCCCATCAGGGGGGCGGAAAATGCCTTGGTTAATTCGTCGACACGGGTATTTCTAGCCATCTATGACACAGGATTGTATTTCTTTTGCCCATGACTACACTGATTGCCAGTGTTATGGAGATATTCCACGCGTTCCGGCTGCCCCCATGCAAGTTATAGTGAAGCCTTGGCCTTTTTGATGCTGGGCATTGGACGCCATCGGCATGATTCATCCATCTTCTTCTAGTGGGTAGAAGCAGCACCACTCAAAGATGTTAACTAAAAGGCAGTTATCTGATTCATACAGGAACATATCTTGTATCGGTTTGGAATTCCTGAATCTATTGTCACTGATCAAGCACAATATTTTGTTGGCACGGAGATGCAAGAATTTTCCAAAGACGTTGGTCTCTTCCTTACTCACTCATCTCCATATTTTGCACAAGGGAACGGTCAAGCAGAGGCTAGCAACAAGATTACCAAGAATATCATGAATTGTCACATCTCCGTCAATCCCAGGGCTTGGCATTCTCTGTTGCCACAAGTGTTATGGGCTTATCGCATGTCCAAACGTGGCGGAACGCATGCTACACCGTATGAGTTAGTCTATGGCCATGATGCAGTAGTCCCAATTGAATACTTAATTTCTTCTCTCCGGATTACTAGTCAACATCCGATTGATTCCGTCGAATATACTCTGAGCATGCAAATTCAACAAGATTAGACAGAAGAAATCCGGATTAATGCGACTAGACATATTGAATATGAGAAGAGTCTAGTTATTAAATAGTACAATAAGAATGTTCGACACTGCAACTTTCTAGTCAGCGAGAAGGTTTGGAAAGCCATTCTGCCAATTGGTCAACGTGATCCTAAATATGGCAAGTGGACACCGACTTGGGAAGGACCCTTTGTCATTCATTGCCACATAGGACGCAACGTATATACATTGGCTACCTTAAACGGCAAAATTAGTGAAATATCTATCAATGCCACTTATTTAAAGAAATACTACTTGTCTCAATGGGAACAGTTGGATCAACAACATCAAGATCAAGCCAGAGATATCGAGCAAAATGTTATTCATGACAGAGTCAAACCAAGTACTTCAACAGTTCTAAAAAAGCCATAATTTCAGAAAAATCAAAACGAGATAATTTTGGCACCAAGTAGCCATCCTTTGCAACCACACGCAGGTGGCAGAAATTATGGTTGATGTTGGTCCAGATTGCCTTCCCCAATACCGCTTGACTCCCAGCAGCACCACCTAGAGCTGATTGCACCTTCGATGGATCTTCCTCTTTGTTTGCTTCTTCCGTTGCATCTGGAGAGGGAGTTTCTGCCGGAACAACAACATCTTTTAACGTGCTCTTCAGGAAATTTCACATCTTGGTGGCTTCTGCAATAATGGGTTGGGCATTTTCATAGTGAACAGATTTTTCCTTGGTATCCTGGGCACGTTCATCACACCTGCTGATTGCATCTGCGCTCTATTGCGCCATTTCCTGGTGCAACAAGTCATCTTCTTGGCGCTGTTCTCGGACGTTTTTTAAGTCTGCTTCCAATGCCGCTTGCTTTGCCGCCAGTTCCTTTGCTTGAACTGCAATTGCTGCTACCTGTTCTACTAGAGTTTTTGCCATCTTTTCAGCTTCTAGATGTGCCATGGCTGCATGGTTGTAGCCTTCCACATGCTTCACACAGATTTCACAACTAATTTTTCTTTGCTCAAAGTTGGCTAAAAGCAGGGCAACTGTCGCTTTGATCACTTCTGGCAAATCACTCCCCTGAATGGTCTCTAATGCCCGTTTCAATGACTGGTGGTACATGGCATGCACTTGTTCTGCACTGATCTTCGACAGTCCTTGCAGTTCTCTAAATGCAGCTATAACAGATTGTGTTGCTTTGCCACTAGTCTTGACATCTGCAGTTGTTTCCTCCATCTTGTGGAACAAACACTTTTGCAACTCCTCAGTTTTTAGGATCGCCGAAGTGACAGTGGTTTGCTTGGCACTTCTTTGTGATGTTCTAGAACCTGTTTGTCGTTTTTGCGGCAAGGAAAAATGTCGCTCAGGGCTACTAGCAGCATCTTCATCTACAGACTCTGAAACTTCCTTATGCTCACTTGCGTCAGGTTTTTCAATAGACAGGTCTACCATTTCACCAGGTTTCTGCAACACAGCCAATATCATGGTCACAAGTTTGCTGATTGAAATACACAACTGCAATTCCTTTCTATGCAACAAGTAACCTATCTTGGAAGAAGTGGTAGTTGTTCTCTTTGTTCCTGTCGGTCGAGCAGATGTCTGCCGTTTTACTGGTTGCGATGGTCCTGCTGCTTTTTTCCTTTTGTGACTCTTTTTACCCCTGGTCGTCACAGGAGTTTGCCCTATTATCACTGAAACACAAGTTTTCCTAGATTAGATACAAGTTATAACAGATACCTTGCATCACACATCAAAAATGAATGATTACCTGGGGGCGCTTGTTCATCAACCACGTGCGGTTTTGGGATGTCTGCATCAATTGGAAGCACTTCCTTCAAGAC